GACAAAAGCCTAGTCCAAACAGCGTGTTTGGTAGTATCTTGTTAGGCAAAGCATCTCCTAAGCCAAGTCCACTGGCAAGTCCACTCTGCCCTTAGTTAGGAAGACGTGCAGGGCTACATAGTATAGAGTAGAAGGCGGAGAGGGAGAAAATTGGTGCAACGTTGTGATCCAGATGAGAAAAGCGGGCGTCATGTACCTGGGTCCTGGTGACGGCACAGTGACGGTCTCTGGAGGGAGAGCATGGGTGCTTTCTGTAGAAATGTGGTCTCTGTGGGCTGGGCTAATAAGGCTGGCATCTGCCTCCAAGGAGTCAGTGGTGGAGTAACAGCCCCCAGAGGCTTTGGGGGCTTGTATGGGTTTGGGATCCCAGTCTTCTGCCCTTGTCTTCTCTTCATCCAATGCCTCTTTCTTTTTCTGGCTGTCTTGTTATTTCTCTGCTCTTTCCCAGTGCTTTCTTGGTTGGTTGGTTTGTTTGCTATTTTTTCATTCCTTTACAGAAGCTGGGAGATGCGGGTCAGATCACATTCCAACTTGGCATTTTTCCCAGCAGGGTGGAAACATTTGAAATGCTCTGTTTTCCGTTGCCCCTGTGACTGCAGCCACAACTGGCTGGCTTCATAGACTAACTGAGCTCCACCAGTGTTTGGATCAACGCTATTGTGCTTCTTCTTGCCCCCTGTGGCGGCTCATGTGAAAAGAGCAATTTTGGAATTTTCTCCAAATCAAATAATTATTCACATAGGATCCTATTCCTCTTCCACCCATTATGTCTGAAGCTTATATATTCTTGTTCTTTCTTTATCCCACTTCTGAGACCAAAATCAGAAAAAAGTAAGGTGTCACTATTGTTATTATAAACATTAGTACTTTATTACAAAAATAACTCTTAACATGACCACTTGTTATGAATCTGTTTGCTCCAGTGAAAATCTCTCAGTCAATAAAGATTCCTCTTTCTGTATTAAAATTTTCACTCAACAAATAGTCATTGAGCATTCAGTGTAAACTGAACCATGAGGCAATCCCTAGGAAGAAAATGGTGAACATATAATCAGATAAACTTCAAAAACTTAGAAATATGGATGGTGGTGCATGCCATAACATGATTGTGGTGCTCTGAACCTCTTGGATAGACAGATCTGGTCTGAGGAAGCAGACCGCTGCTCAGAGCGGGTGAGAGGCCCTTAGCTCGGATGGATACGTGAGGTAGAGGTGGCACTAGATGGACTGTTCTATGTTCTAGGCAGAGAGAACAGCGGGTAAAATGGCCCTCTGATGGGGGTACATATTCTTTCATGGAGTGGAGCATGAGGATAAGGGGTAACCAAGGCTGAAGAGGGGGTCACTGGTGGACCTCACTGACTAGGGTAACGATTTTCTCTTTTCTCCTAAGAACAATAGGAAACCATCAGGTTTGAAGTAGAGAATATACTCATTAATTCTCTCTCTCTAACTCCCTCCCTCCTCTCCTCCCCCTCCTCCCTCTCCTCCCCCTCTGTCCCTCTCCCCTTTTCTTCTCTCTCTCTCTCTCTCTCTCTCTCTCTCTCTCTCTCTCTCTCTCTCTCTCTCACACACACACACACACACACACACACACACAAGGGTGGGGTGGGGCAGGCCTGTTGGGAAGTTATGACAGTGTCCAGATGAAAAATGATGATAGTCTGGACAAAAGCAATAGTGGAAAGATGGAGAAGAGGTTTTGTTTTTATTCTTGATTTTTTAATTTTTTTTCCTTTTAAAGATTTTTTTTTATTTGTCAGGTGGTGGTGACACACACCTTTAATCTTAATGCTCATTTGACAGAGCAGGTGGATCTGTGAGTTCCAGGCCAGCCTGGTCTACAGAGTGAGTTCCAGGACAGCCTGATCTACAGAGTGAGTTCCAAGACAGCCAGGGCCACACAGAGAAACACTGTCTTGAAATGCCAAAACAAATAAACAAGTAAATAAATAGATTTTATTATATTTATCACCCAGGCCTGAAGATGCACGCCTTTAACCCCAGCACTCAGGAGGCAGAGGCAGGCAAATCTCTGATTTTGAGGCCAACCTGGTCTATAGAGTGAGTTCCAGGACAGCCAAAGCTATATAGTGAGACCCTGTCTCATAAAACTGAAAGGGGGTTAGGAAGGGAGAGAGAGGAGAGACAGATAGACAGAGAGAGACATAGCAGGAAAACTGGACGGGTTTTGGAGACGGCAGAACAGACGTGCATATCAGAGGTGATCCGTGTAGTACACAGCCGGGAATGAACTGTGCTGTGAGTTTCAAATCTCTGTAATATGCACCCAGAAGGGACTGTTCTGTTTATTAGTTTGGGATCTCTCTGGGTGAAGGACCCTCTCTCCCTCCTGTGCTCAGGGAGGGATAATGAATAATGTTAGGAACAGAAGTGGACATTTCTCTGCTTTTGCCAGGATTTAGCCTGACCTTTTTCCAGAACCGTCTTATGTCATTAGGATTTTTGTTTGTTTTTAATTTTTTCTTGTGACAGAGTTTCACTCTGCAGCCTACACTGGCCTGGAACTCACTGTGTAGCCCAGGGTGACCGAGGACTTGTGGCAATTCTCCTGCCTCTGCCTCACAAGTGCCACCACACTCGGCTCATTAGTCTTATTTCTGTGTTCCAGCAAGAGAAATCAGGCCTCGTGATAGAGCAGCAATGTGAATCCCACAGCCTTCCCAGTGCTGTGGTCCAGCCTTGCCCTTGACCCATGTACGGTTTCTGTGATGAAGCCTTTGCACATGGGGTCCTTTCATTTGGGATCCCTTTTCCCCAGTGGGATCCCAGCCAAAGTTTATTAGAAAGCTTTTCCAAGGAAGGACGTTCCCTGCTCTGACTTGAATACACTCTGTCCTTAGAGCAGATGCTTAGGTGGACCGTAGGTTCTGTGTGTTTTAGCCAGTGCTACAGCCGCTCCTTCTGCAGTGGACTGGCAGGGTGGAGAGGACACGTCACAGTGTGGTGGTTCCCAGTCCCTTGGTTGGAGGCAGAGTGGCTACAGTCACTCAAGAATCTACTGTGGTCCTGCTAGCATTGAGAACGCTCAGACCCTGCTGCCTTAGTGCTATGTAGTCTCTGAGTTCCTGTGACCATCTTGAGAGGGCTTGTGCTATGGTTTGTTTGTTTGTTTGTTTTTCCCTTACAATGAATTTTTCAGATTGTCACTTTTGTTTTAAAGGTCTCACTATGTAGCTCAGAGTGTCCTCATACTGAGTACCCAGGCTAGCCTCAAACTCAAAATTCTCCTGCCTCAGGCTCTAAGTGTTGGGATTAGAGGTATTACTACCATGCCTGTTTTCTATTTTGAGTTCCTGAATCAAGCTCAGTGCCAATACACAGGACCATCCTCTGGCCGAGAAAACAGGCAATGACCAAGTGTCAGAATTAAAATCTTTTTTTTTTTTTTTTTTAAGAAAAGTTCTCATTCATCTCATGCCTTTATCTCCTGAATGCCAGGCTTAGAGGTATGTGCCACCACCCCCAGTTTTAGGAGCATCATTTTTGTTTCAAATTTCCAGTCTCCAAAAAGTTCCTTCTATGAACTGTCAATCTTTGCAGCCATTGATAATCATCTCTGTGCTGGCGTGCTCTATGTTTTGGTACATACCTGTAATCCCAGCACTTAGGAGGCTTAGGTAAGAGGATTAAGGGTTTAAGGCCAGCCTGGGCTACATAATGAGTTCTAGGATAGCTAGGTTACATGGTGAGAACAATAAATCATTTTTTTTTATTTCTAGAACCTACAGAAAAATTATTTTCCTATTCCTAGAAGCTACCATGGTGGTCTGGTGTGTAATAGTTGCCTGGTAAATGAATTTCCCTGAATGATTGAATGAATGAGTGTAATGTTCTATTTGTAGTACGTGATATTGGCATAGTTGCTTGTAAACTATCCCTGGGTACTTTTGTGCATTGCGTACACATAACCCATCCATTTACAACACTTGTTTCCCCTGCTAATGGATCTGTTCCTCTGAGATAAGTGGGCGTAGTTTTTCAGTTTCTCTTAGCTCTGCTGCCTGCTTCCTTGGCTGCTATATCTTGCTGCTTTTTTTTTTTTTCTTTTCTTTTTCTTTTTTTCTTTTGATGCAGATTTCTCTGTGTAGCCCTGTAGACCAGGCTGTCTTTGAACTCAGAGATCTGCCTGCCTCTGCCTCGAGAGTGCTGGGACTAAAGGCATGCATCACCAAGCCCAGCAGCTTCCTTTTTCTTATGCATGAGTGTTATGAACCACCTACTTTATATACCAACCTCTGGCATACAGGCTGGGGAAATCCAAAAGGAAGAAATACAGTTCCTGTGATCAGGGAAAAGATGCAAAAGAGCCTGGTTTTAAAAATGAGGGTGATGAACTACAAAGCTTGCTAGCATTCTGGGATATCCTGGATGCTGTGCGACTTTCAAGGGAGGGGCAAGAAAGGTGTAACAGAAAAAGAGAGTAATGTCACCATGTAGTGATGGTGGTTGAGGAGTTATCCAGCATTTACCCACTGCATACAGCAAAGCTTATTAGCCATGCTCACAAAAGGTGCAAAGTAGACTTCATAATCACATTCTTTTTTTTTTTTTTTTTTTTTTTTGGTTTTTCGAGACAGGGTTTCTCTGTGTAGCTTTGCGCCTTTCCTGGATCTCGCTTTGTAGCCCAGGCTGGCCTCGAACTCACAGAGATTCGCTTGGCTCTGCCTCCCGAGTGCTGGGATTAAAGGCGTGTGCCACCACCACCCGGCTCATAATCACATTCTTATAAGCAGATGTTGATCTTAAGATTGTGGGTCCTTTTGACCACCTTACCTTAACGTCTTATAGACTCTTTTACAGAACAGTAAAATAGTCTGTGTGAGTAGAGTGTGGGAGCCAGGACACAGAGAGCTGGGTCAAAGAGGTAAACTGATCTTCAGAAACTGCTCAGACCTGTTGGTGTGTACCAGCCATTCCACCCCACTGTCCCGCCAAGGTTCCTGTACCCCTGTAACTTCTCTGTTCCTGACTTTCAGGTCAGGCTGTTCCTGCAGGATCCCATGTGCGACTGAATCTACAGACTGGAGCAAGAGAGGTGAAACTCCAACAAGAAGACAAATTCCAGAATAATTTGAAAGGATTTAAAAAAGGCAAAAGGTACTATATTGGTCCTAGGGACTAGGAGCCTTAGTAATGAAATGACATTGATTTGGAAATACTAACAATGTTACCCAGTTCATGAGTGTGAATTTGTTTGTTATTTCAAGACATGGATTTTCTGTGTAACCCAGTCTGTCCTGCAACTCGCTCTGTAGACCAGGCTGGCCTTGAACTCAGAGATCCGCCTGCCTCTACCCCCGAGTGCTGGGATTAAAGGCGTGCACCATGACAGGCTAGGTGTGTTACCATTTTTATTTGAAATTTAGCAGTGAACAATTTGTGATAAAATTGTCAGGGTTTTATGGAATTTACTCCCTCCATCTTTGGAAAGAAATATCTTGCAAAGAAAATAGGTGCTGTAGGGGAATGCTTAACCTGTCTTAAAAGTGAAGCTGTTTCCCAGTTCTCTAAGAGCACCCCTTTGAATCCCAACAATTAATGTGCTGATTACCGGTGAGTCATCTATTCATTAAAACAAGCCTGTTAGGCCTTCTGCTTTTCGGTGATACTTCCTTGGTGAACAATAAAATTGCCTTTAGAAGTCTTTAATTCAGACTAACTTTTCCTCTCGTTAGTCAGTGTTAAAATAGGCTTTCTCGTAGTACATGAGTAGAAACTACCACTTTCCCGGTGCTTCCAGGGTTCCTAACTTTTTAATAACCAGTTCAAGCGATTTGATTTTAGAGAATTAACAGTTTCTATTTTTCCTGTTAATTCCCTCAAATTAACAAGTTTCCCTTGCTTAGTGTTTCCTGACAGAGAGGAAAGGAAACTCAGGCACGTGGTGGCCGGGATTTCTAGACTTCTCAGTATTTATATTAGATAGCATTTTAACCCAGGGACCAGACACCTGTGATTGTGCATGTTGGGACTGCTGCCTGTTTGGGTATGGCCAGCGAACTAAGTTGGTTCTTACCTTAATGGTTAGAAAAACCATGAGGAATATGTCGTGACTGTGGAAATGATGTGAACTCAGATGCTCCTTTGTTCACATGTCGTCTGTGGCTGCCTTCTTGCTATAGTGGTGGAGTCGAGACAGTCGCAAAGCTTAAAGTACTAACTGGTTATTACAGGGAGTTTGTGGACCCTCTCCTGAAACATGTAAATTATTTGGAATTAATTGTACATTAAATAGGTCCTATTCAGCTTTTTGATTATTAGTAGCTTCGCAAATTTTACAGTTTTGTATATAAACTATAAAGGGATGTTAGAGACCTGGTTCTTTCTTTGTTTTCTTCTTTCTTTCTTTCTTTCTTTCTTTCTGCATTTTAATTTAATTTATTTATTTGTTTGTTTGTTTTTGAGACAGAGTTTCTCCATGTAACCTTGGCTGTCCTGGAACTCACTCTGTAGATCAGGCTGGCCTCGAACTCAAAGAGAATCACCTGCTTCTGCTTCCTGAGTATGGGGATTAAAGGCTTGTGCCTCCACTACCCTACTCTTTTTTTCTTTTTATTTCATTAAAAAAAATGTGTATTTGTTTATATATATGGCGTGTGTGAGGTGCCTGTAGAGGTCAGAAGAGGGTGTCATATGTCTTAGAACTAGAGTCACAGGTGGTTGTGAGCCACCCAACATGGATGCTGGGAACTGAGCTCAGGTCCTCTGGAAGAGCAGCAAGCTCTCTTAACTGCTGAGCCATCCCTCCAGTTCTACGACCTTCCTTGACATACCTGACCAAGAGATTTAGCTGGTCCATATGCCTGATTAGTCAAGTGCCACTCACAAAACCCACAAGGGAGCATGGGCAGATTTGGACAGTTTTTACATTACAGTGGAGGCGTTTGTCATCATCCCAGACTAGGGAAGTTCTTCCTTCTTCCCTTCTCTTCATATAGGCCTATACCTGCAGTGGCCCAAATCATACAATTATTCCTTTCTCACAGCCATATAAGAATAATCAGGTATCAGTGTACAACCCTGCTAACCTTTGACCCCTCCAGAAAGCATGCATGTCCACATGCTTCAGTGTATCCAGGCACTTTGAACTCTTCTCTCACACTTAGTCCAATTCTTACCTTTTAACGAAAAAGCTAACCTCCTGTTTGGCTTAGGAATATTGACCCAGGGACTTATTAACTGAGAGCTATCGGTTTGTTGTTTTGTAGGCCTCCCACCTCCCCTACCCCGACCGCAGGCCCTCAGAAGGAGCGCTTTCTACTTTGACTTTGCCCCCTTTTTCAACAGTGCTTTTAGAGCAGGTCTTGACCCTTTGGGGGGGGGGGTTGAATGACCCTTTCACAGGGGTCACATATCACATATCCTGTATATCAGATATTTATATTATGATTCATAACAGTAGCAAAATCACAATTATGAAGTAGCAGCAAAATAATTTTATGATTGGGGGTCCTCACAACATGAAGAACTGTATTAATGGGTTGCAGCATCGGGAAGGTTGGGAGTCGCCGCTCTAGAGCAGAAGCCTTCTGTAGAGACACCATAAGGAGGAAGAACACTGGTTCCCACTTTTTCCTCTGCTTTTCTCCTGTGAACTGCTTCTGAGAGCTTTGCCCTAGAATCCCCCAGGATATGCTGGGCATTTCCCTTTCTCAGCTGCTGCAGCCCGTCTGGACAGAGTCTCATCCCACATTCTCTAGTCTCATTTCCCTGCATCTTCCTGACTGTGGAGCAGTGGCCTGGGGACAGAGGCTTGGGGCGTAAGAGCCAGCATCCTGACATTGGCAGTGTTTTGGTTATCTGATTAGTGTGTGGTGGAAGACAAGGCATACAGCCTTCTATCATCAGGTTGTTCAGATGAGTCAGTAAACCACTGGGCTGGAGACTTAGGGGAGCCAAGCCTTTCCACTAGTCCTGCTGGCCACATTGCTACTTAGAGCTATGATCCCTTTGGGCTCTAAGCCTGGGGCAGAGACCCTGCCTTAGGACTTCAAGCATATTTTTAGGCATGAAAGGCATAAAAGCTTTATTCTACATCCTGTCAACATCTTAATAGAGCAAACATCTATTTGCCCTGGAATCTTCTTTGAAACTTCCTCCTATGTTAGAGTGAAGGACAGACAGATTCTACTCCATTGACTTGTACCACCTTGGTCAGGCATTTGCCATGCTGTGGTTGCTATAGTGGTGAAGAGATAAGCCAAAGACAAGCTGTTTACCTGCTGTTCTAACTCATTTCACAAAGACTACTGAATGCCTGTGACAGGCATTGGGGAAACAGTAAGAAACGCAACAGACAAGTGGTAACCTCCATGAGGTGAGTGGAGGCAGAAAACCAAGAAAATAAACATATGAGTAAGATAATTACAAATTATAATAAGTTCTAGGGAAGAAATGAGCCAAGGTAATGAGTCTCTGCAGGAGCCCATGTTAGATAGGATGATTTGGGAAGGCAGACCTCATCAGCATATTTGAACTGAAGGCTAAAGAAAGAGAATTTAAATTCCTCAAGCATTATGCTGGTAAATTGGGGGGTTATAGCATTTCAAGCAGATGGAACAAAAGGCAGAGCCCCGGGCGTCATCAAGTTTGACAAACAGGAAGATGATTCAAGTGGTTAGAGGAAGAGGTGCCCCGGGGACTGAGAGGAGCTGGGAATGGAGTGGTCGATGTGTGGGGCCCGGACACAGCATGTGGAGTGTTGGGGACGTTCTCAATGCTCTCCGTTCACCTCCAAGTATAGCAGAAAGGACTAGAGCGTTTTAGGCAAGAGAGTGGCTTACTGTAGCTTACCAGAATGATCGTTGTGTCTGGATGAGAGATTGAAACCAGAGAAAGAAGCAGAAGCCACCAGGCCACCATTTTCGTGGGACCAGACCCAGTGGTGACTAAGTCCAGGGCATCATGATGTAGAGTGGGTGAATTTAGAGTTAGTTTGGAAGTGTAGCTAAAAGGACTTGCTGGTGACTCCGATGTAGAGGTGGAGAGGGGAGAAGATTGGAATGAGGCCTCGCTTTGGGGTTTGAACCACTGAGTGCTTAGAGGTGCTATTTTTTGAAATAGAAAAGTTGCAGTTGGACCAGATTTTTAGAGACAAGTATCATGAGTGATATTTTTTATTAAGTAAGTGTGAAGTATGTGTTAAGCATCTGAGACTCACTTGGATGGGCTAGCTGGCTGGCTCAGAGGGTAAAGGCACTTGCTGTCAAACCTGATGACCTGAGGTTTATCCCCGGGACCATGCGGGAGGAGAGAACCAGAACCGGCAAGTTGTCCTCTAACTCCCGCGTACACGCTGTGGAACCACACCTGTACCCCAGTAAATTAACGTAGGTGGGTGTTTATTGTCGTGTTTTTGAACAAAGGACCTCTGAGACCAAAGATACATGAGATAATACGGTAGCCAGTTTCCCCCTTACTGTGAAAGGAATTACTTATTTGGACTTGAAGTTGCCCAAGTGTCACACTGTCGTGGTAGGGAGGACATGGCAGAGCAGGGTGATTTACATGGTGGAGAGCAGGGCAGGTACAGGAAGATACAGCTCAGGACATGCCTCCCTCACAGGGATCTACCTCTGTCACCTCCCCAAGTGCCGTCGTTTATGAATCCATCAAGAAGTTAAGCCCATGGTTAGGACAGGGCCTCAGTAGCTAACCGCCTCTAGCAGTCTCCACAGATACACTCACAGGTATGCAAAACCCCTAGGTATGGATTTCTTGTTCTTTAAATTCATCTATTTATTTTACATCCCGGCTGTAGCCCCTTCCCCATTCTCCCCTCCCTGTCCCTCTCCCCTGTTCTCTGCCTCCCACCCTCCAATCTCCTCCTCTTCTGTCTCCATCCAGGAACAAACAAGTCTCCCGTGAGTATCAACAAAACACGGCATATCAAGTTGTAGTAAGACTAAGCACCTCCCCATGGGCAAGGCGACCCAGTATGAGAAGTAGGGTTCCAAAAGCCAGAGACAGGCCCTGTTCCCACTGTTAGGAGTCCCACAAGAGGACCAAGCTACACAACTGTAACATATATGCAGAGTGCCTAGGTCAGTCTCATGAAGACTCCCTGGTTGTTGATTCAGTCTCTGAGAGTTCCTATGAGCCCAAGTTAGTTGATTGTGTGAGCCTTCTCTTGGTGTCCTCGACCCCTATGGCTCGTACAATCCTTTCTCCTCCTCTGCAGAGTTCCTGAACTCATCATAATGTCTGGCTGTGGGTCTGCATCTGCCTCCATCAGTTGCTGGATGATGCCTATGTGCTGACAGTTGGGCCAGGCATCAATTTGGTCATAGGAGACGGCCAGTCCAGGCTACTTACCTACTATTGCTAGAAGTCAAAGCTGGGGTCCTCCTCATAGACTCCTGGGAGATTCCCCTGTGCTAGGCTTCCGCCTGACCCGGAAATGCCTCCCCCAGCAGTCCCCCTCAGCACTCTCCCCCTCAGCACCCACCCAACCTGATGAATAAAGTTGAAAAATAATCATGAAAATCAAGATTAATCCTAAGCAGGTAGTTGTATAATATCCTGCTGTTTGAGGGGAGGGGTTTGAACTAAAGATATCTGTGGTATTGTGTTCCCCAAAATATTGTGCATGCTGATAAACTTATCTGGGGTCAGAGACAGAACAGCCACAATATTAAACATAGAGGATAGGCAGTGGTAGCCCACGCCTTTAATCCTAGCATTCCAGAGGCAGAAATCCATGTGTTCAAGGATACAGACAAGCATGGTGACTCATCGTGCCTTTAATCCCAGAAAGCCAAGCCTTTAATCCCAGGGAGTGGTGGTAGAAAGCAGAAAGGTATATAAGGCATGGAAACCAGAAACTAGAAGCATTTGGCTGGTTAAGCATTTAGCTGGTTAAGCTTTCAGGCTTCTAGCAGCAGTTCAGCTGAGACCCATTCTAGATGAGGACTCAGAGGCTTCCAGTCTAAGGAAACAGGACCAGCTGAGGATCTGACGAGGTGAGGTAGCTGTGGCTTATTCTGTTTCTCTGACCATCCAGCATTTCACCCCAATAACTGGCCCCAGGTTTGATTTTATTAATAAGAACTGTTAAGATTCCTGCTACAGATATTAGTGTGGGTATCACTGTCAGATAAATATTTTAATGTCTCACTCTAATGTAGCATGAATCCTAATTTGTCTTAATAAAAACCCAGAGCCATATATCAGGGTAAATGCTGAAAGATCAGAGAAACAAAGGAACAAGCCATAGCCATTTCTCACCTCACCCTAGAGATAAAAAAAAAAAAAAGAAGGTTGTTCAGGATGGAACTCTGAGGCATTCCAGCATATAGGGTTTCAGGTAGGAGAGGAGGCATTGTGAAGAGATAGAGGAGGAATGATGAGCCAGGCTAGCATAGTAACAAACCAGGAGAGTTAGAAGCTATCAGATACTGCTGATTGGTAGAGGAACGTGAAGTCAGTGGGGAATCCATTGGGTCTGACTGTCAGTCATGGGTAATTTGATGAACAGTGTTAGACAGCGGGTACGGGACTGGGAATGTGCTCAGCTCGGGGAGGGCGTGGCTCGTCTGCATGAAGTTGTGGGGCCATCTCTAGTTCAATGTAAAAGCGGGAGGATTAGAAGTTCGAGATCATACTCAGAGCTTCCCAGCACATTTGGGCCCAGCTTGAGAAGTATGAGACCCTGCCCCCCAAAAGACAAACAACAGAAACAGAACAGTGTTAGCAGTGTGGTAAGGACAGAATCTGCGTTAGAGCAATGGCGATGTGAACAGGAAGAAAAATAATAAAAACAAACCAGCTCTCAGGAGGCAGAGACAGGGCAGCTCCAGGCCGGCTTTGAGGCCAGCCCTGTCTAATTGCAACGTTCCAGGCTAGCCAAAGCTACATAGTGAGGCATCCCGTCTTTTGTGTTGTTGTGGCCGGCCTGGAACTTGCTAGATAGACGAGGTTGACCTGTGTCTCTCGTGTGCTAGACAGGAATTAGATGCAAGGCAAAATGGGATTAGTCTTGCCAAGTCGAAGAAGAGGAGAACCTGTTCCCCTGTAGCTCCTTAATCCTTAGCTCCCAAGGATGGAGACAGAGCAGTGGTATTCTCATGTGCTTGGCAGTGGAGGGAGAGAACCTTGTATCTCCCCTACTTTGAGACTGTGCTGTTCATTCGAATGAAATGCACCTCTAAAGGAGTAGCCCCTGCTGACATGAGTTAGTCCTCAAGAAAGGGAGTGGTCAGCGATAGTGCCTCTCAGATGGGGACTGAGGTTGAGCGAGATCAAGTATTTTCCTCAGATCCCTAAAGACTCTTTATGATGAATCAGAGCTGAATGAGGAGAGTCCTGAACACTCGTCCTTCTGATAAAGGTTGAGACCTGTTGGAATCTGGAACAGAGCAGGACAGTAGCCATTTCCCTTCCTCTGAAATGTCCTGTTCTCTCGCTGCCCCAGCAGTTCTGTGTGGCTGGCAGCTAGGCCATGCCACTCTGTGGCAGGTCCAGCATTGCACACGCCTCCTACCCTGTGCTGCCACGATGCCCAAGAGGAAGGTTAGCCTCTGAGGTTAGGCAGAGGTGCAGCCCAACTCGGTCCATGAGGCGGTGGACCAAGCCTACCCTGCTGTGGTAGATGCAAGTGGAAAAGCTGAGGGGAAGGGTAAATCATCCGACGGAACAGTGCAAACTAAAGGGAAGAGAGAGCGAAGGGCAGACAGTCTGCAGCGGTGACTAGCAAACTGCAGATCTACCTGCAGGAAATGGAGAGGAGGAAAACCGGAGGTCAGCCTCACAAGTAGAAGAGGCAGAAGCCGGGTGTGACTGACCGTGCATCCTGTCTGTCAGCGGGCTGCACCTCCCTGCTTGTGCAACTCAGAGGAGTGTTTTTATCAATGGTTTTATAAATCAGAGTTTTTTAGTAGCTCTAGAAACATTTTTAGAAGCAGGGGGAATCCCACCTCGTCCCATTTTTAAAGTGTAAATGATTTTTTAAGAGGTTAAATCATTCACTGTTTGTTTATTTTTTTTGGTAAACCAGAAAATAGCAGGATACTGAATCAGGAGAGACTGTGACTATCTGAGGAGATCACCATAGCATTCCATAGAGGGGCTAGTTTCCTATCCTGCAATACAAAGCACATTAAATGGCAGTTCACAATCTCAGTTGTGCATTTGTGTCTGGAATATTTTCAGTTAGATCTGGTTTTGTGTTTCCAGTAAAACCATTTCCCAAAAATCTACTCCTCAGTCCTTGCCCTGTCAGAACTGTCTCTGGTCATGGCAGTCCATTTTCCTAACAATTGTGATAATGTGCCATGAATGGTGGAAATTTTGAGTATGTACTGTATGTGACATGAAATTGTAAGTCAATGGAATTGAGGATCATGAGCATTTGATTGTTATGTGAGGTCTTAGGGAAAACTTGTCAAGTCTGAGGCTGGAACATCACTGGACTAAGTTCAAAGAGAAACAACATGTGGCTTTTCAGAGTTTGAGTACATGAATACATTGTATGACTCTTCAGAGTTTGGGTACATGTGTTAAGAACTGATGTCTGTGTACTCCCCTTCCCCTTCTTAACCAGTAAACTGTCCTGCTGTGTCTTTAATCGAACCACAGCTGGACAGTCTTGCTAAAGGCCAGCTCACTTGCTCTGGCCTTTGTTCACGGACTGAGCTGAGAGCTCAGGATGGGACCTCACTTTGTTCCCACCGAAGAGGCTCTCTCTCCAGTCAGGATGGCTGGCTGAAGTCAATCAGCCCCGGGGGTTTGGGCAGGAAACCTCTGTCGTCTCCGTTGGTCCTTGAGATTACTGCCAGATTGGTTCCTTTACTCCATCTTCTTGGAGATGATTGGAGAAGGTGACTGGTGATTCTCCTCCTGGGTCTCTCATGTCTGTTCCCCTGTTGGACTGAGATACACCCCCTCTGTGCTCAAACATTGGCTTTAATGTGTGAATCTACCCATTTCATTATCCAAGACAAGTTGGCTTGTCAAACCAAGTCTGGGACATTTTGGAGGTCTCGGGTCCCTGCTCTGCTTCCCAGAGGATTATAGATGGGGTGCCTGTTACTCCTGTGTCTGAATCCATTGCCCCCGGAGGCTCTGCTGGGTCTCAGGCTCAGAAGGCAGGAGCACAGACAGGCTTCCGCCCCGAGCAGCTAGTTACAAGCCAGTAGTAGTCCAGTGTAGGCCTCCGTTCCTTCTGTCTTGTGAAATAACCCCCATTGGGCTTCAAGTGCAGTTACCCTGTTGGGTTCCGGCTGCCCCATGGCAGAGGTATGACAGTGTGCTAAGAGTTAGAACTGGACTGGCCAAGCTTACACTGGGAGCCAAGTCACCAGTCGGCACTGTCCGTCTCGGAGAAGTGCGTCTCTTCTGACTCTCAGCTTCTGTGTGGGCAGGCTGGACATCAACACCAACACCTACACATCTCAGGACCTCAAGAGTGCACTGGCCAAATTCAAGGAGGGAGTGGAGACGGAGAAGTCAAAGGATGAGCAGGTATGTGATGGTCTTTCTTGTTAGCTTTTGCCAGGAGAGACTGATTTCCCGGAAGCTTTTGTAGTAGGCCTAGAATAATAATGTAAAATAATTTGAAAAGGGATTTATGACAAATTAAAAAAACCTTTATGTTTTTTAAAAAAAACTATTTTTTTTGTTTTGTTTTGTTTTTTGGTTTTTATGTGTAGCCCTAGGTGCCCTGGAACTTGCTGTATAGACCAGGCTGCCCTAAAACTCAAAATTTGCCTGCCTCTGCCTCCTGAGCACTGGGATTAAAGGTGTGTACCACCACTGCCCAGCATCTTTATATACTATTTTTAAAATACTGCTCAGAGCTGGAGAGATGGCTCAGTGGTTAAGAGCACTGGCTATTCTTCCAGAGGTCCTGAGTTCAATTCCCAGCAACCACATGGTGGCTCACAACCATCTGTAATGAGATCTGGTGCCCTCTTCTGGCCTGAAGGCATACATGTAGACAGAATACTATACATAATAAATAAATAAATAAATCTTTAAAAATAAATAAGTAAATAAAATACTGCTCAGAGTGTTTCTTTTTTAGGCTAGGATCCAATGTTCTACATGTTTGGAGGAATTGTAGAATAAAACAGAAGTGATTATAACCCAGAACCCTCACTGAACAATGAGGTTAGACACAGATTTGGGGTTTGTTTGTTTTAATAGGGCTGGAGAGATGGCTCTGTGGTTAAGAGCACTGTCTGCCCCTGCATATGGCCTGGGTTCGGTTTCTAGCACCCACATGACCAATAACAACCAGCCCTAAATCTCCACACAGGCTAAGGTATAAGAAGGACAAGCAGAAGAATTTGTTCCCCTGATTTCTGGGAGAGCTCACTGATACAGCTATGCCAGGAAGAAATAATACTTTGGCATGGACCATGAGTTCACATGCGCTCCGGGGAAAATCACAACACATTTCTATGTATTCCCATTGGGACCTGGTGGCCCAGAAAGAACCTTCCTTAACAGCTGCTTTGTAGATCTCTTTTTCTTCTTCACAGACCCTGTTTGCCATTGACTGCCTCTTGGCCCTTTGTCTTGAGTGCTGGGAGAGTCTTAAAAGGGCAGCATTAGGTTCTGGACAGTTTGTATGTTAGTTCAGAATGGCTTAGGTCCTTTAGATTTATAAATGTTTTAAATTCTATTTATGTGTTTACTTTGTAGGTTTGGGGAGGTGCAAGCTGTGGTGTACAGGTAGAAAACCACTTATTAGAATTGGTTCTCTCTTTACCACATGAGTCCCAGGAATCCTTCAGGTTCTTTAGAAGTGTTTCTGAGACTAATGAACCTTCAGAGTGGGGCTGGTGCTGACCTACTTAGGATGCGCTAAAGCACACACTTGTAATCTCAGGGAGGCTGAGGCAAAAGATTATGATGTTTGAGTCTTTCTGTGTATTACCCAACATTTGTCCTCAGAACCCAATGAAGCAGCCAACTGTTTTCCTTTCAAAGACCACCTAACAGAACTGATGATAAACTAACCCAGAATGCATTTTATCAGATGTCAAAACACCAGTCTGCTAATCAGTGGAACACAACAGTAAAAGTCAGCAAGAACTTCATGTATTTGAAAACACTTGTAGATTCGTAGGGCAAAAACCGTCAAAATGGAGAGATTTATAAATGAGATGAGATGCCAAACACGGTGACACACTCCTGTAACTCCAGTGCTGTAAACCTGGCACTCTAGAGGCTGAAGCAGGAGGATCATTTGAGTTCTAGGCTTGCCAAACTACATAGGAAGTTTGCAGGCCAGTGTGGACTGTATAGAGACTCTGTCTCAGATAACCAAGCCAAACCAGCACAAACCCCCAAAGCCTTCCTATCTTTAGTTAGCTTAACAACATCACATGTCCATCCTGGAGAGTGTGTGTTAGAAGGAAGGGGCCAGCTGGAGACTTGGCCCAGTGGAGAAGAAGATCTGTTACTCTTGGTGTAGGACCCTGTTTTGATCCCCAACATCCACATGGTGTCTCACAACCTTTTGTCACTACAGTCCCAGGGATCCAGTGCCCTCTTCGGACCTCTGTAGGTACCAGGCACACACATGGTACACATATGTACATGCAGGTGAGACACTTATACACACATGTAAATATAAATCTAAAAAATAAGAGAAGGAAGAGGTAGGATGACCGCTTTAGCATGTGAGAGGAAGCGATGCACGGGATTCTGCTTTCCTGCTGCATCGGTTGGCCAGAGAGAGGTGAAGAGAAGCGAAGGTGCCACCCAGTAAAGGAGAGGCCGGGAGAATGCCTGTGTCTGGGAGCCTGGGTTCCAGATTGGTGTCCCTGTGGCCAGGGCTTTAGACCTCACTTGTCACCTTCCCTCTGGGCATCACGTGGGTCCAATTCTCCTGGGGTGAAAACCCACTTAACCTTACTCCTCTCTGCTTCCCTGGGTAAGTGTGATTGAAGTTCCTCTTCAGACAGTGACATTTTCTTCTCAGAGTTTAACTAGTGTGGAAAACTATGAGCAATTGGTGAAAAATTTGAAAAATGTAAGGGCAAAGATCGTAAGTTTTTCCATTGTTTAAAGAATCCATTCCCATCTGCAAAGGGATTCACAGAGCAGCTTAAAAGGAAGACTTTAGTGGCTGCTGGGTGGAGCCCCCTCCCTCTCCCCACTTTTAGAATCTCAGCACTCAGGAGGCTGGAGTCAAGTGTTAGCTCTGCACAGAGGAGCTGCACCTGGGTTCGTGTGGAGCTGGTCCGGACTGACTCAGTTCACTGGCCATGTGCTGTCAGCACTGGCTCTGGAACAAGCAGATTGGCTTGAAGTAGGCTTGGGTTTGTTGTTTGCTGTGTTTTGTGTTTTACAGGTCTCCTGTTCCTGGCTCCAGAGCCTCTCATACTGTTAGCTAATTAGTTTTTAAGTCTGTTTTATGTAACTCGGTGTAAAAACAGGTTGACACTCTTGCTTTCTATAAAAAACAATCCTGTCAGATATTGGCCGTATCTCTCAATTGTGTTTCTCAGATTTGACATGAAATCTGCAGGAGAAAGGGTATCTGTCTCTTGAATTGATAGTGACTTTAATACATTTAGATGAATTTTCTTGCTCCTCAAAGAAGTTGTCTCAGGGATAGCAAGATGCCACAGTATATAAAGGTACTTGCTATTAATCCTCATGACCCGAGTTCAATCCTGCAAGTTTATCTTCTGATCTACACACATGCACGCACATATGCATGTGCCATGACATACATGTATGTACACACACATATGTAGATGAAATTCTAAACGGTCTTAGTAAATAAGAAACACAGAGCCAAATACAGAGTTAAAGCCTAAGAGATCAGAGCATTAGTGAATAGCCTTTAGCTTACCAGTTGCTGAGAGAGAGACCGTCTCCTGTGTGATCTGTCTTTTTATTGCCTTTCTGTTCTACCTTCTCATTGGCTCTAAACCCAACCACATGATTTCCTCGTCACTGCCTGTCTATACAGACCTCCAGGTCTCTATGGTTCGTACTGGGATAAAAGGTTCAGGTCACCGCTTGGCTGTGTCCTTGAACACACAGAGACTCTGCCTGCCATGTGATGGGATTGAGGGCGTGTGCCACCACCACCAGACTTCTTAATGGCTTGCTCTTACTTCTGATCCCCAGGCAATTTTGTTTATTAACATACAAATAAAATCACATTTCAGCACAAATAAAATATCACCGTACACATATATACACACATTAAATAAATAAATGTAAAAATGTTTAAATGTGACTAGAAAATGGTGTGACTTCAAGCTTTTGACTCTATGGCAGGCTCGAGTTCCCTGCTGCCCCACTCAAGATAACCCCTGGATATAAGCGTAGATGCAATACGGAGATTTCCAAAAAGTGGTAAGAAAGTGACATATTGCACAGGGACCTTGGAGCTTTAGGAATGGCATGTCAGCATCTTTCTGGGTCTTCTTTTAGCCCCACATATTCTATCCTGGACTGGAGATTCTCAGGCTGAAATGCCAACAGGTTTTAGATAATTTAAAAGATTTTTTCTAAGACAGGTTTTCAGTACATAGCCTAGGGTGACCTGGAGTGCATTGTGTCCCAGGCTGGACTCAAATATGTGATACACTTGTCTTAGCCTGACACGTACTGGCATGTGCTGCTAAGCTTAGCTTAAGTAGCAGGTTCTAAAACACTAAAAGAAACTTTCTAGCTAGAAAAGGAGTAGTCTATAAAAAAAAGAACTTTTTGACAGTACCCATCCTACTTCTGCCAAAAATCACTGGACCCTGACTGCCACCCCATAATATACATTCATTACCAGGAGAAGATAAGGAAGAGAGTCTAGAATTATAAAATTATGTATTCTGATTCCTGTACCAGGGTCAGCAGACATTAACTGGGGAGCCTCAACTTGCACCGATCACAATGGCAGTTGGTAATATTACTGTGCTTCATCTGTGTGGTATCTATGAGAGTGTAGCAGTTTCTGCCCTCTACCTGGTAGCTACTCTCTGCATCCTTTCTTGGTGTACCAGTTTACACACACACACACACACACAGAGCCCTCTGGGGTAGGGTCAGTGGGGAAAGGGAGCAAACAGGAGGAACTATTTGTTTCTGAACATGAGCATTCGGTTGCCCTACAAGGGTGGTGTCAGTAGAGGCCGACAGGGGGACTACCCTTCCACGTGCAAGATCCTGCATCCAGTGACAGCAGCCGAGTGCTCTTTGCCCTCCCCTCCCCGCCACCCTAGGCCGAAGGGTCTGGAAAGAGTAAGAGTGAATCTGAAAAGTTAAAATATGCATATGAGTCCTAGACATAACCTTTCATTTATCTCCAGAAAACACTGACCAACAGTGAAAGGTTGAGAATTAGACTATAGTGGGAAGGTTGCCCAAAGGAACAGGCCAGACTGGCACCAAAGACTACTGTCATGTGAGTCACAGCCCATGTACAGATGCTAGAACCAGCACATACAAAAGCCAGCAGGTGACTGACTACCTGTGAATAAAGAAGATTAAATAGAATG